TTTATATTCCTAATTAAAGAGGCAGCCAGCCTCTTCACACTGGCTGTATGTTAAATATACACAAATCCATAACCAGGTTTCCAAATATACTGGAAGCCATTTTGAAAGAAAGGGGAGCAAAGAGAAAGAATGTATTAAGGTCACTGTATTTGGAGTGTCATGAATGGTGACACTGGGCACCAGGTACCAGGTGTCCCACCCAGGCCATGTCACATATCAGGGTGAGGTTACCCCTAAGGGCCTGCTTCGAATTCTGAGGTTGCGCTCTGTCCCAGCCACACGGCGTCAGGCCCTCGGCACTCCTGTACCTCAGGCTCCTGCCTGTAAAGCGGTGTGAGCCTTACTGCCAGTTTCCCAGGGGAGTTCCGAGGGCCACAAGGAATAATTTACATATTATCAGGTCCATAAAGGTTAGCATGTGTCTTATTTACTGAGTCTCTTCTACTACATGGTTTCATTTTCTCTAGAAAAACTTACTCTCCCAGTAAGATGATTCTTTTAGCAAATTTGCAGTAAAACTGCAGCAAAAGGTGAAGAAAATAAAGATGGAAAAAATAGGCCAAGTGTAGAAAAAGGCCAATTTTAATAAAAATCACTCAATTGACCTTGGACATTCAGAAGAAGAACCAGGGAGCATGCACAATAGAGGGCAGGAGAAAATCAAATGCAGAAACAGAGGCTTGTTTATACCAATTCCTGTTTCCAGACTGGGCCCCACGAAGGCAGCCCAGATTCCTGGAGCTCAGGGTCCTGCGTCACTGGGCCAGGAGGCGGCTGCCTGGCGTTTCGTTCCTCCAGCCCCAAGAGCCTATTCAGAATCAAGGACGAGGACTGCAGGGCAAGCAGACGGTGGACAAGGAACCTCCCGCTGCAGGTTACGGCCAGCTCAGTGCTGCAGGGCCTGCCCAGCACTGTGGGTGCTTTGGGAGACACATGGACTGGGTGGTGGGGTGAACTTTGTGGCTTCAAACTGGTTTTTCTCTGCCTCTGACTTTATGTATCACGAAAACAGTCTGTGACAAATGTACTTCACAGTCTGTGAATCATGAAATCTGAAGGGCCATCAGCCGCTGCTCTCTGGGCCCAGGGCCTCACCTCTCTCCGGCCCTCGTCATCACTAGAACCTTCATTAGGCTTTGCGCTCTTCCTTTAACCTGAGCAACACATGTGGTGCCCTATTGCCCAAAGGCTGGAAGTCCTCAAACCATGAAGATCAATATTCTTAGTGGTGCAGAGATGCAGGAGTAGAAGGTTATATAATGTTAAGAATCACTCAGAAACAGTTTATCTTCAGTACAGAAGTAAGTACATACACATAATTAGGTATATCTAATAAAATAAAATCTGAGACTGTCTTGCGAAGCCTCGTTTGAGAAATTAATAAGGATTTCCCTTGTGTTGGCCACTGTACATTTTTCAACTGTAATATGACGTGCCATTGAGCAGAAATTTTGTCTTTTGAAGAGAGGGAGCAATTTTGTCAGATATGGCCAGTAACTGAATCTCAGTCCATAGGGGACATTAACAAGACAAAAACAACACAAATTAACCTATCTGTCAATTCCACATACCCCCACATTAATAGGTGTATTCCAACTCTGGCTGTAGGAGGTGCATTTCACACAAACAGGAGGAATCCTCTCTACCAAATCATGAACGAAAATGTCACTGGAATGTTGCCAGCTCCCCACCACTGAAACGGGTGCAAACTGGAGTACCATGTGTATGTTTTTTTTTTACCCACTCAAATGCAAAAGAAAAGTGCTTTTCCATTCTCCAAAATGTCCTGAAGCCTTGTAAAAAAGAACAAAAGCTACAAGAAGGAGAAAAAGTGATTCTGAAAATAAAAATCACTGTTGGCTTCAGTACCTAAACAAAAAGAGTAGCTTCTAGTCACTGGATTCATTGGTCCGACAAACTCCAGGGAGGTCGATCTTTGTGCTACCGACAACATGCACATCCCGAGTGTCCCCGAGGGGCGGGCTGCTCCTGCCACATGTGCTCCATGCCCCCCACCACCCGTGAGCTGCGTCTGGGCACAGGGAGGCAGCTCAGGCTACACCTGGGCAGCAGAATGGGGTTTCGGGCTTCTTCTTTCTCCTTTGAAAGTCTGTTATCTTTAGATTCCCATATCTCTTGAGTATTTAAATCAAGTAAATGTATTTACTGCTCTTTTTACGCCTCCATAATGACCACAATGATGCTTTTTACCCTCTGCAAGGACAGTACCAGCCCCGAATAAATCCACACGGTTAGACGGGATACATTGAGCCCACTGGATGGAAGCTTACAAGGAGCCTTACCTGGCACTCCCGTGTACATGATGGAGAACACATTGATTGCTATCGTAGCGGCATAGAACACTGGAAGTGCCCGGAGGCCATTGGGGACAGGGTCCTCCTGCACGACAACGAGATAAAGTGGAAGGTCAGGATTCAAGGGGCATCTGGAGCCGACACAGACAAATGACAGAAAACACTGTTAGGGGAAAGCCTTCTCACTGGCATGGCCATGTCACTGCACCAGCGCAGGCATCTCTCCTACACAAACTATCTCAGAGAACCCGCCGTTGCATCCAGCAGACCCGCTAGGGCACTTGGACCACGTGAGCTGACCCCAGACTGAGACGCGGAGGAGAACTGTTCAGCTTGGTAAGTTCCTGGGGCCTGGGGCCCAGCATGGCCTCTGCCTCAGCAGCTCTGCCACTCGCTACTCTAGCTAGGGTCACATTTGCTAAAAACTGACTTTCAGCAAATATTTTGACACTTGGCCCTCTGAGGATGTCCTAAGCCAAATGACTTCAATGCCCCGCATCACTAGTAGGTTTTACGGTCTCTCTGTTACATAATTCAGTTTAGTTCTGTTGATATAAATAAAACAGACATGTTACCATGTGCTATGACTTTCAGCCTTTTTATAAGATGTAATATTTAATCTTTAACTGTTAAATATTAAAAAGAACTGTGGATTTCTCGTCTAATGAAAAAGATTTTACAACTTTAGGCTTCTGTTACAGCAGTCCCTAAATCTAATATGTCAACAAGAATGGTACTGCACATGTGTTAGGCTAAATAATATCTGAGAGATTATTAGAAATGTAGGGTTTTAGGCAGAGTCACAGAGGATTTTGAGGCAAAAATATGGACTGGACACTCTCTGATACAGCACTGATACATAGATGTTGCTTAAATAATTTATAAAAGGACTAATTTCTAATAACCATGTAAGACACTCAGATATTCATAAGACTCTGAGACCTTCTGATGGGAAAAGGCAACTTAGATGTAGAGATAATGTGAGCTGCGGTAGTAAGGGGAAGTACATGGTGCCCCAGAGATTCCTACTGTCAGATGCAAACAGGTATGGAAATCTAGTGTGTGTGCGGAGCAGTCCATCTCATTAAGAACCTGTTTGGGAAGGTCTCAAGTAGCCATCAGCACCTGTCAAGAGGCCTGCGCTGAATGGCAGTGAGGTGCAAAGAACGTGAGAGCAGGGGAAGAAGGTGACTCAAGTGCATGAGAGTCACAGCCAGTGCAGGCAGGGGAGGTGCAGAGCGCCCAGCAGGAGCTGGATGACAGGCGGAGTGGCCTCCGACCTGCCAGGCGCCACGTGCAAAAAGCCCAGGCCGACTGACCCCACACGCCAGGCTGCCCGAATGCCTGCTGCCCCTGGGTTCCTGAACGGGGCTACCTCGGGCTGCCGAAGACGGACTCCCAACCAGACACTTCTGAAGGTGTACAGGTCTTAGGTTGATGTTTTTCAATTGAATCACCTTATGTTTTGTCAAATAACCTGCTCTTAAAACTCAAATGACAGCTCTGTCATTAAGACCTCCTTTCCTCCCTCCTGTCTCTCTCTCCTTCCTTTCTTTCCTTCGCTTCTTCCCTCCAGCCCCACTATGCCACCTGTCCAGGCACCCATCATTCCCTCCTAACAGACATTCGAGCAGCGTGTTTAGCGTGCCATGCACAGCGCTGGGGCCGGGTTACAAGAGCGGGCGAGGCAGTCATGGGTTTCTGCTCTCACCAATCTTATAATTAAATAGCAAAGAGGCCACTGAGCAAGAACTGAAACGCCGTTCAGCATGACGGCACCCTGATGAGAGTAGAGTGCTGCGGGAGTGTGAGAGGGGGCCCGCCGACCGTGGGTGGGCGAGGACTGCCTGCCCAGGAAGCTCTGCAGGCTGAGTGGCAGCAGGAGTTTGCCAGGCAAGGCTGAGTTCCAGGCAGGAAATAAAAAGAGTGCAGGCTGGAAGGCAAGAGACAACTGCACCTTTCAAGTACAAAAATGTTAGTACGGAGGGAGCCCAAGAGAAGGAATCCTAAGTTTGTTCTTATGCAAGGGCATGAGTCCCGCAATAGGCTAGTGGGTGATGCTAAGAAAAAAATGGCTGCCTCTCCAGGTGAGGTCACGGTGCCGGCCGGCATGTGCCGGGGGCTCAGGCTCTGCTAGAACGTGCTCCCTAGAGGTGTGCATTGTGGTTTACAAAATACTGCGGCAACCCCTTGACAGTCGAGAAATTTTTTTCTAGTAGGTTTTCACTTCCATCTCATTTTATTCTTGACGAAACACACCCCAGTTGGTGTATTCTTTCTTCTTATCCTTTCCTGAGGATGGGGAAGAGCCAGTATTTCAAGATGGCTTTCTCCATTAAAACAGAGAACACACCTTACATTTGGGTAAATAAATTCTCCAGCTCTTTTTAGTGATAGTCAATCCAACATATTAACACTATCTCACCCTCTTCTGTTTCACATCCAGGAAATAATTACCTTTCCTGTTTGAGGTCTGCACACAATGCCTGGGAGTCCTGATTTTAGATTCCCATATCTCTTGAGTATTTAAATCAAGTAAATGTATTTACTGCTCTTTTTACGCCTCCATAATGACCACAATGATGCTTTTTACCCTCTGCAAGGACAGTACCAGCCCCGAATAAATCCACACGGTTAGACGGGATACATTGAGCCCACTGGATGGAAGCTTCCAAGGAGCCTTACCTGGCACTCCCGTGTACATGATGGAGAACACATTGATTGCTATCGTAGCGGCATAGAACACTGGAAGTGCCCGGAGGCCATTGGGGACAGGGTCCTCCTGCACGACAACGAGATAAAGTGGAAGGTCAGGATTCAAGGGGCATCTGGAGCCGACACAGACAAATGACAGAAAACACTGTTAGGGGAAAGCCTTCTCACTGGCATGGCCATGTCACTGCACCAGCGCAGGCATCTCTCCTACACAAACTATCTCAGAGAACCCGCCGTTGCATCCAGCAGACCCGCTAGGGCACTTGGACCACGTGAGCTGACCCCAGACTGAGACGCGGAGGAGAACTGTTCAGCTTGGTAAGTTCCTGGGGCCTGGGGCCCAGCATGGCCTCTGCCTCAGCAGCTCTGCCACTCGCTACTCTAGCTAGGGTCACATTTGCTAAAAACTGACTTTCAGCAAATATTTTGACACTTGGCCCTCTGAGGATGTCCTAAGCCAAATGACTTCAATGCCCCGCATCACTAGTAGGTTTTACGGTCTCTCTGTTACATAATTCAGTTTAGTTCTGTTGATATAAATAAAACAGACATGTTACCATGTGCTATGACTTTCAGCCTTTTTATAAGATGTAATATTTAATCTTTAACTGTTAAATATTAAAAAGAACTGTGGATTTCTCGTCTAATGAAAAAGATTTTACAACTTTAGGCTTCTGTTACAGCAGTCCCTAAATCTAATATGTCAACAAGAATGGTACTGCACATGTGTTAGGCTAAATAATATCTGAGAGATTATTAGAAATGTAGGGTTTTAGGCAGAGTCACAGAGGATTTTGAGGCAAAAATATGGACTGGACACTCTCTGATACAGCACTGATACATAGATGTTGCTTAAATAATTTATAAAAGGACTAATTTCTAATAACCATGTAAGACACTCAGATATTCATAAGACTCTGAGACCTTCTGATGGGAAAAGGCAACTTAGATGTAGAGATAATGTGAGCTGCGGTAGTAAGGGGAAGTACATGGTGCCCCAGAGATTCCTACTGTCAGATGCAAACAGGTATGGAAATCTAGTGTGTGTGCGGAGCAGTCCATCTCATTAAGAACCTGTTTGGGAAGGTCTCAAGTAGCCATCAGCACCTGTCAAGAGGCCTGCGCTGAATGGCAGTGAGGTGCAAAGAACGTGAGAGCAGGGGAAGAAGGTGACTCAAGTGCATGAGAGTCACAGCCAGTGCAGGCAGGGGAGGTGCAGAGCGCCCAGCAGGAGCTGGATGACAGGCGGAGTGGCCTCCGACCTGCCAGGCGCCACGTGCAAAAAGCCCAGGCCGACTGACCCCACACGCCAGGCTGCCCGAATGCCTGCTGCCCCTGGGTTCCTGAACGGGGCTACCTCGGGCTGCCGAAGACGGACTCCCAACCAGACACTTCTGAAGGTGTACAGGTCTTAGGTTGATGTTTTTCAATTGAATCACCTTATGTTTTGTCAAATAACCTGCTCTTAAAACTCAAATGACAGCTCTGTCATTAAGACCTCCTTTCCTCCCTCCTGTCTCTCTCTCCTTCCTTTCTTTCCTTCGCTTCTTCCCTCCAGCCCCACTATGCCACCTGTCCAGGCACCCATCATTCCCTCCTAACAGACATTCGAGCAGCGTGTTTAGCGTGCCATGCACAGCGCTGGGGCCGGGTTACAAGAGCGGGCGAGGCAGTCATGGGTTTCTGCTCTCACCAATCTTATAATTAAATAGCAAAGAGGCCACTGAGCAAGAACTGAAACGCCGTTCAGCATGACGGCACCCTGATGAGAGTAGAGTGCTGCGGGAGTGTGAGAGGGGGCCCGCCGACCGTGGGTGGGCGAGGACTGCCTGCCCAGGAAGCTCTGCAGGCTGAGTGGCAGCAGGAGTTTGCCAGGCAAGGCTGAGTTCCAGGCAGGAAATAAAAAGAGTGCAGGCTGGAAGGCAAGAGACAACTGCACCTTTCAAGTACAAAAATGTTAGTACGGAGGGAGCCCAAGAGAAGGAATCCTAAGTTTGTTCTTATGCAAGGGCATGAGTCCCGCAATAGGCTAGTGGGTGATGCTAAGAAAAAAATGGCTGCCTCTCCAGGTGAGGTCACGGTGCCGGCCGGCATGTGCCGGGGGCTCAGGCTCTGCTAGAACGTGCTCCCTAGAGGTGTGCATTGTGGTTTACAAAATACTGCGGCAACCCCTTGACAGTCGAGAAATTTTTTTCTAGTAGGTTTTCACTTCCATCTCATTTTATTCTTGACGAAACACACCCCAGTTGGTGTATTCTTTCTTCTTATCCTTTCCTGAGGATGGGGAAGAGCCAGTATTTCAAGATGGCTTTCTCCATTAAAACAGAGAACACACCTTACATTTGGGTAAATAAATTCTCCAGCTCTTTTTAGTGATAGTCAATCCAACATATTAACACTATCTCACCCTCTTCTGTTTCACATCCAGGAAATAATTACCTTTCCTGTTTGAGGTCTGCACACAATGCCTGGGAGTCCTGATTCATGAACCAAGTCACAGGACAGGAAACACTACAGTGCAGCCCCCGGTCCTCTGCCTTGACACCTGCCTCCTTGATAATAGTGCCTAATTCTAACTCCAGGGTGCTATGTGCCTTAATGACATTAAAACACAATTATTCCCCTAACCCCCCTCACTATTCATTTCTATAGAGTAGAAGCAAAATTTGTTCTAAAACTCAATTTAAAAAATAACATCCTCACTTACTTTTTTTAAGATGAATATCCTGATCAGCACAAACAGCACGCCAGACATGAAACCAGACAACAGTGGAGATATAAACCAAGAAGCAACTGAATAATTGAAAGAAAAATCTAGTGAATGTTAAAATTCTACATAATTCAAGTCATATTTATACAATACAACGACAACCGACATACAGTACCCACAATAATAAATATTCCTGGAATTCTTCACCTTAACGAGGACCTAATACACACTACCCCTGGCATGCTGTCCTCACACACAAACACACAGTTCCACACAACTGAGCACACCTGGACAGGCAAGTAAGCGGTCCCTGGGCTCCTTTGCCTGCTCCTCTCCTCCGGCCACATGGAGACCTGGCCCTTGCTCCGACAGGGCGGGTTACTGAAAAGGTAGGCTGCCTTTCACACAGTTTTCCCAGTCCGGCCCTGCTGTTCTGACAATTTCAGCCTCTGGCCTCGTAGTTCCTGACTCTGGCTGCCCCATCGGGCATATTCAGGGAGTTTTCAAAAGCTAGTTATGCTCTGGCTCCACCCCCAGAATTCTAATTTAAAAGGTTCCGGACAGGGTCTGGGCATTGATATCTTTAAACTGTTCCCCCAAGTAATTATAAAGTGCGGCCAGAGTTCTAGAAGCCTGTTCTAGAAGCCTGGGATCGAAGGTGATTTTCCAGGCCATCTATCTGTGTCCCTGCTTGGCAGGCTGGGGTACATCCACAGGGCTCCTGAAGCCACTGATTCTTAAAAGGATGAGCAACCCAGAGGATGGAAATGGGGCGAAAGAGGATTTTTTACAACGGGCCGGTTGGTGGTTTTGAGGACTGAGTGGATTTCCTTCCTGCTAAAATCCAGAGCCAGGAAGCAGGTGGTCAGACCTCTCAGAAGAGCCAGTTGGGCAGCCAGCAAGCCAGACGCAATACTGAGCACTTCCTCTAGGGGGCAGGCTGGGAGACTCTTGAATGCAGTTGGGGGCGAGGAGGGGGTGAGGAGGGAGGTCGCTCTGGGCCTTCCGCATGCCTATGAACTCTTGCCTCCTGGGCTCTGAAGGCCTTCTCTCACCAGGGCCTAGTTTTCCTCCAACTACAGACTGATTTTAGAAGCATTTCTTCCTTGCTCAGGAACGATACATAAGACACTGATTTTCAAAGCTGGTTGGCAATGTAACGTTTGAAAACAGTGCTTGGAGTTAAGAATTTGTCCAACACATAACACTTCCATTAAGACATTCAGAGGGGAAATGCATTAGCCCATAGGGCTTCTAGACCTTAACATTCGAAGGAGAAAACATAATGGTAACTTTTAATAAAACTTACTCTAGAGGATGCAAACTTTCCTTCTTATAGGTAAAAGAAAATGGCAATTACCAATCTTGACAAGCTCCATCCACTGGACACCTTTTGTGCCGATGGCAACGAGCGAGAACCCTATCGTAGAGCCAACGATGCAATGTGTTCCTGAGATCGGCAGTCTCAGGAAGGACGCGATCAGCTGCCAAACAGCTGAACCTACCAGGTGGGAGAGAAAAAACGTCAGGTACAGAGTGCAGTGCACCAGTCAGCACAGGGGGAGGAATCCAAGCTGCTGTTCTCCATACAGCACGTCCCTGGGCTCACTGTCCATGGACTGTTCCTGTCCAGGGCACTGCAGTCCTGACAAAAATCGCTCAGTGAACTCCAGACAGAGGACCGTTCTTGCACACTGAAGGGGTAACGAGGGCTTATTTAAGGGAAGGGCGTGTAAGCATTTCCAGAAAGCCTCCTGATGCCAGTCGTTGTCTGCTGGCCTCACGTGCAGCTGGGGGTGCGGACGATGAACTACTTCCGGTGTGAAGTGTGGTCCAGACCAAGGACGAGATCAAAGACTCGAATGGGGGCAGTGAAGGAAGAGGGGCCACATACTGGAAAAGATTTCACTGTCGTTATGCCCCTTGTCCTTGAGGAGGAGGGCCAGATCCTCGCATGTCCATCACACCTCAGTAAAAGAAGAGGGACAGGCAATTCCAGGCTCCTTTTTGTACTTTTGCTTCTCATATGAGAAGCAGCTGTATCGACCTGAGGCTGGACGTGTGCTCTCAGCCTCTGCCCAGGAAGCCGGGCCTCTTCTCTGCTCCCCCAGGCCTCCCACATCCTTAGGGGTAAGAGGACACCTGAGGTTGGGTGCTGTGTCCTTGTACCTCATTGTCACTGGTCTTTTCCAGGCTTGGCGTTTCTCTGGGCTACAGTTCACTTCAGATATTTTCATAAGCAGATCAAGTTCTGCAGTGAGTATTAAAGGCATCAGCAGGGCGAGATCACTTTCAGCAACAGTTGTTGAAAAGCTCACACAGAAGAGAAAGGGAACAAAGGGCTTGGCTGATAAGCAGGGCACGTCATTAATCCCAAATGTTCATTCTGGACATTGGGGTGCCTGGCAGCAGCAGAGCTCTCAGTAGAGCCCCGGCTCCTTCTTCAGAAGTACCTGCTTCACAGAGGACCACCAGTGGCTGCACAGGGCCCGGTCTGTGAGTGCCTCACAGCTGCCCCATGCACGCAGGGCACGCCAACCTGTGAGGCCAGTTGGGCTGTGACCCTGTCTGCATCTGTCCCCAAAGCATGTGCTGGGAGGAGGAGAGGCCAGCCTGGCAGCCTGACTGGCCAAGCTGGGGACAGGCTCCACAGCAGTGCCCCCAACTTTCTGAAGCCTTTGCATCTAAGCCCTGGGCTCCTCAGGGACTACTCTGTTTTGAAAATAAAGCTAGAGTTTCATGGGACTAGAGGCATAACTTAAAAAGCAAACTGTATGATTTATGTTCTTATAAAAAAATTAAAATAATCTAGTGGAGGTGAAGGGAATGGTATGAACTCACCCAAATGAATTCAGCCCATGGGGTCATCCTTCCAGAAAGCTACTATCCTGTCTGTGGCTGACTCCCTAGCCTAGTCCTGGAGCAGCAGGTGGGGGCAAGGTGGGCCTGAGAACCACAAAGAAAGAAAGGGGCTGGGGCAGGTGGGGAGGAGCAGCTGGAGCTGGAGCGGCAGGGACCTGCCCATGACTCTGGCACCTCAGAGTTCCTGAAGGCCACAGGGCTACTCTAACGTCAAGGGAAACAGCGGGAGCACGAAAGAGACACTTTAACCTGAGATAATGACATTCCACACAGAGGGAAGGGATGAAGTATGGCGTAAGGGTGGGGGACAAACCCAGGGAAAGTAGGGGGGAAGGCGGGTGTCTCTGAGGTTGCTGGGAAGACAAGAATGCAGGCCGAGGTGCAGGGTCCCGGGAGGCAGGCAGGTGTGCAGGAGGCTCGGCAGCCGTGTGGGTTGTGTGCGCTTCAGGCCTGTTCATTCTACCGCAGGTATGTCCGTGAGGAGACAGTGAGTTCTGAACTCCGGATCTGGGGGACCCTTGGTGGTTTCATACTAAGTGCTGAGCTAGGGTCCCAAAAGATAGTTTGCTTGAGATGTGCAGCTGCCATGAACTGGTACCCAATGAGCCCAGCGCCACCACATCTCTGTGAGAAAGCTCAGAGGCCCGTGGGCTTGGGGAGATAATATTAAAGAAAAGGAGCAACAAAGAAACAGAATAGGAGGAGCCAAGATGGCGGCATGAGTAGAGCAGAGGAAATCTCCTCCCAAAACCATATATATTTTTGAAAATAAAACAAATACAACTCTTCCTAAAAGAGAGACCAGAAGACACAGGACAACAGTCAGACTACATCCACACCTGTGAGAACCCAGTGCCTTGCGAAGGGGGTAAGATGCAAGCCGCGACCTGGAGGGACCCAAGCACCCCTCACTCCAGCTCCCAGCGGGAGGAGAGGAGTCGAAGCGGGGAGGGAGAGGGAGCCCAGGACTGCTAAACACCCAGCGCTAGCCATCCACACCGGAGCGCAGACACAGTGCGTGCGTGGGGTGCTGGATACTAGGGAAACAGGAAAGGTCAGACCTGTGAGTGGGTCCCCGCAGTAGGCGCCCCTGGGACAAAGAAAAGCGAGTGCTTTTTGAAAGTCTTAAAGGGACAGGGACCCCACAGCTGGAAGACATGAACAGACTAAAAGTCAAGGGATGGAAAAAGATATCCCATGCAGATAACACGGAGAAAAAAGCAGGTGTTGCAGTACTAGTATCAGACAAAATAGACTTCAAAACAAAGAAAGTAACAAGAGATAAAGAAGGACACTACATAATGATAAAGGGCTCAGTCCAACAAGAGGATATAACCATTATAAATATATATGCACCCAACACAGGAGCACCCACATATGTGAAACAAATACTAACTGAACT